AGTTCAGATAATCTGTTCCTGTCTGGTTTCAACATAGAACTTTGCATCGGTGTGCAGCAGTTCTAGTCACCACACTTCACTTGTCACACAAATCCATAAAAGAAAGTAAAAAAACACAAAATAAGGACAGTAAACAGAGATATGAGGTAAAAAGAATAGTAACACCAACATATCACCAATTGTCTCCAGCCATTGGTGTTTACCGTCCCGAGGACCCTAACCAGGAATTCTTTACCTCCCTACGTGGCCGACTTAAACTAACTGTTGTGGATTTCATTGACTGATGAAACCATGTTTTGGTTTGACCACCATCAGCTTTCTCTTTTCTAACCTGACCCTACGTCAGCTACCATTGTCCGTTGTCAAGGAAGGCGATGGCTAAACATTGCGTAACCCATATCTAACCATTTGAATCGATGTAACTTCACAGCCCCGTCTATTGATTTCCCCTCTTTACCCAGCGCTCGAGTTAAGATAATGCTACTGATAAAAGATAGTTTTAAGTAAATCAAGAATAATAATGATAAAATAGGTAGAATAATAGGTAAAACATGTTACCATGGTAAATTCAGAGTGACGACCATCTCCTTTTGTATACAGAGACCTGGTTTATAAAATCGAATTGTACAAGCCTCCTCCACAATTGCAAGCATCTTCCTGTTTGTTTGTCTACTCCCTGAGGATTTTGGCACTTTGTACTCAGCTGTTTTCAACCATTTTGGCAAATGGTCCATCATGCGAGTAGACAATCGCCTTTCCGTACGACCTATATACTTACTTCCACAAACACACTAATCAAATTGATATACGCAGTCTGGAGTGTCCAGGATTGGCGACTAGTCTTTCCCAGATTGTTGAAGCACTCGTTTGGTGGTGCTAAGGAAAACAAATTTTGCGGTCTATTAAGTTCTCTTGATAGCTTTATCGAGTCTTCGTTTGACTACTTCTTGTACATCATCTCCTTTGAATGGCAAAGTGATATAGACAGATTTCTTCAGAACTGTTTGGATTGTTTTGTGGGGGCTAATTTCTTTAGAGTACTTATTAATGAACTTCTTAGGATATTCATTCTTAGATAAAATATCCTTGAGAGCTTTTATTTCATGCTTGGTTGTACTGTTAGAACAAATTTTTCGTGTTCTATTGAACAGTGTTCCGACTAAGTTCTTGTTATGGTGCATTGGAACGAAGCTCTGGAAATGCATGTACTGTCCTGTCCAAGAAGACTGTCTAAATATTTATCTTTCGATTGTGCCATCAGCCGTTTTCACTAAAAAAACATTTAGGAATTTAGTAGTATCATTTTCTTCGTATTCTATTGTGAAATTGAGATTCAGGTGACATGAGCTGGTGAAACTGAAGCGTAATGAATTTTAAATTAATTTCAGCCTCTTACATACAAATGATAGGTTGAAAGGTTTTTAAAATTGATAGTAATACAGTTATTGAAGCATAAGTAAACTAAAATTAAAATTAAAAATTAAAAAAGAAAAGAAAGAATTAAACCCCTTAGCTAGTCGTTCCCTGTAAATAAAATTTTCATTTTTTTTATTTTCTTTTTTAATTTTACTTTTAGTTTACTTTTGCTTCAATAATTAATTCACTATTATCACTCTCATATGCTCGTTCTGTACATTTCCCACCCTTTTCACACTTGTTAAATTGACACTCAAATACCACCTTTATTCTCACTCAGTAGCTATTTTAACTTTATCAAGTTTCTATCTTTGTTCCGTTGAATACCATGTAATTTACAACTTTTAATTTCCACTTCTAAGGCCACTTATGATTAATTATATCAGTTATGTCACCCCCCAACTATTACTCAAAAATAGACCACTATATATTTTTTAATAAGTTTAAATACGACTGTACAGCCTCTGAAGATGATTTCGTCGATAAAGAAAATTTTCTTTGCTAAATCTGTCTTTTATTTTCTTCATGACTCAATGAGTATTTTCCGTGATATATTAAAAGACAAAGAATAAAGTGAACAAGAGTTTTATTATAGACTGATCTAGAATAGCATCTTGATATTGTCATTTGATGACTGTTCATAAAAAGCGACTAATAAATTGACGATAGACGACAGAATACACACTGCATATTGAATGCAAAACGTCCTTTTGAATGAAAGATGTGCCTCAATAGGATTAATGTAAACAATATACATATATATATGGCAGGAAATTAGTAGTCCTTTATATCCAGTTGGAGCCTAATAACTAGGTGACTAATTTAAACATTGGTCGTCAAAATAAATTTATAATTATTAAGAAGACAGTTGCAGCGAAGAAAATTTTCTTTTGGACGAAGTCATCATCTAGGCTGTACATTCATGTATTTATATCAAATGGATGGGAAAGTTCCAGAATAATTTCCGGTTAAGGGTCAAATTAATTAAAATTAAAATTGGGAATTAGAATGCCATAGTAAACAGGGAGACGGATAAAACCCAAACAAAGTAGCATCATAATAACTAAGAAGATTGACATTGTGCAGTTGGGGGTTAGAAATGTAGAAATAACAAAATGGACAGGATGTTTGGATAAAAAACTAATGTGATGAATAATTGTTTATGCAATCAGGGATTAAATATGTAGAAATAGTAAAATGACAAAATAAACACGAAGTTCGGGTATGAAAATATGGTAGTGTTTATGCAATCAGGGATTAATTGAAAACATTTATTTCCCGATACGAATTTAAGACAAGCAATAAAGGTTAATAAAGCAGGATTTAATGAACTGATCAAATTTCGGTAGAACTCCTCTTCAGCAGAATACTCTACATACACGGATATATATACTTTTGAAATTACATTGGGAGATATAAGACTGATAAGTAAACAAACTACATTGAATTACTCATGCAGAAAGACACGTGCGAATAATTTACAGGTCATGATCAAGTAGATAAGGGGAGAGAGAGTATGAGAGATCAAAATTAAGATAAATTGCATTGCTTTCTGCATGAGTAATTCAATGTAGTTTGTTTACTTATCAGTCTTATATCTCCCAATGTAATTTCAAAAGTATATATATCCGTGTATGTAGAGTATTCTGCTGAAGAGGAGTTCTACCGAAATTTGATCAGTTCATTAAATCCTGCTTTATTAACCTTTATTGCTTGTCTTAAATTCGTATCGGGAAATAAATGTTTTCAATTAATCCCTGATTGCATAAACACTACCATATTTTCATACCCGAACTTCGTGTTTATTTTGTCATTTTACCATTTCTACATATTTAATCCCTGATTGCATAAACAATTATTCATCACATTAGTTTTTTATCCAAACATCCTGTCCATTTTGTTATTTCTACATTTCTAACCCCCAACTGCACAATGTCAATCTTCTTAGTTATTATGATGCTACTTTGTTTGAGTTTTATCCGTCTCCCTGTTTATTTTGGCATTCTAATTCCTAATTTTAATTTTTACTAATTTGACCCTTAACCGGAAATTATTCTGGAACTTTCCCATCCATTTGATATAAATACATGAATGTACAGCCTAGATGATGACTTCGTCCAAAAGAAAATTTTCTTCGCTGCAACTGTCTTCTTAATAACTCCTATGACCCAATGTGTATATTCCGAAATTTATAATTATTGGCTTGTAGAGATTTGATTGACTGGTTACACGATTTCATCATGAGCTGACATCGGTTAGAGAAGAAATGGAAAACCTCTTCAGCTTGATTGTCTCCGAGCTCGCCTTGTAAGCAAAAGGCTCTGTTTTCAAAACGCGGTGAGTGAGTACTGAGGAAGAGTCAAAAAATAGGGTGACGAAACATCTGTCCAAGTACTCTAGTGGTGGTTCTCCAATGCTTATCTAGTTGACAACAGGTCACGATGTAATCCCGTAACCATTTTGATACTGTTGGAGAGATACTTCAACTTGTTATGTGACGTGCAGATCTTCATTGCCAAAGAAAGTTATACATTTCCCATTCAGGTCTTGTTGTAACATGAGATGTGGATCATTATATCCATCTGTTCCTTTAATCTCCGAAATACTACAAGCGGCTTCAAACAATATCAGCGCCAATGCCAATATAGTATATGCTGGAAATCCCTTAATTCATCGGTGTATATATAAATCTGTTGGTTTTTATAAAGTTATTATTCTTTTTGGCTATTTTTCACGTTTAATTCAACTAGATTATTTTCAGTGTGCTGATTAGTATGTGAAGGGTGAAATAGTTAATTGTAGGCTATAATAATACACTATAATTTAGAATAACCATACTATTATTCGTGCATATTCTCATCTCAAGAAGTATAAACAATTCAGTGTTCTGCAACGTATAATTTATATTATTTTGTAAATTAGACCACGAATTGATGTTACAGTTAGAGAAGGATTGGAGAACCAGCAGACAGTACTGGACAGCCGCTTTCGCTTAGTCGGGTCAAGAAGTTGAAATTCATGGACGACCGAGCGCTGGGTCATGTCACAGTGGTGTGTCTGGTTGTCAGAACTCCCTTTGTTCAAACCATGACGGTGAGTGTGTACCAATGAAGAGTCCTAAACTATGGCGAATCAGTTGTCCAGTACTCCACTGTTGGTTTTTCGATGGTGCTTTAACCGCTGTCAGCTCATGATGGAGTCCTGTAATCAATGAAATCTAATTCCTGCAAACTTACACTAGAATACTATTTCCTAGGGTATTAAATATTCACCAAACTTTTCAGAAAGTATCATATATACTGTGAAAGATATTCTTCAGATGAATGCAACAGTTAGTTCATAGAAGTAATAATGGTTACTTGAAATAGCATTTTACAATATACATCGACAGTTTTGAGTTCATAGCACTGGATATGAAAAGTTTCACTCTTACAAGAGGGTATCAGTTCTTGAGCATTTGTTCCATTCACCACCAAACCTAATTCAGGGGCATCCTGCTATTTGCCACTATATCAAACTTTTAAAATTCAACATCATACACAATGTCATATTTTAAAATTTACTTTTACTGTCATATTAGCACTCATCAACTTCTAAGAATAAATTCAAAAGTCTAGAGATGTTTTTTTTGAAGTATGTATTTCGTGTGTTACTTTAAGATGAATAGGTGAAATTTGTATTATCAATAGAAATATTTATTTACTTTCAGAGTTAATTGAACTCAGGGAATTCAATCCATAGTGGACATTCAGTATTGTTGTCTTCTTCTTGCATTGGACAGTCAATTAATTCAAGTTGTGGATTGAAACAAAAACGAACTTCACTCAATAGTGCCAATTGATTCTACAAAATAATAACATTATTGGTTGTTGAAAAATTATTTTTCTTTTTATAGGTTTTACGAGAATTTTAATTACGTCTTCTTAAATTTGTGAAAAAAAAATTTATCAAGTCCTAAGATTTTTAGTTTTTAATAAGAGAGTGGAATAATAAGGCTAATAAAAATGAAGGGAATTATCAGCAAACTGTAACCCGTCTAGATAAGACATTAGGAGGATAAATACCGTGAGATAATGTCTGACACATACCAGCCAATAAAACTGAATGTATATATTGCAGCTTAAACAGACGGGTGAACTAAAGATCAAATTGACTTCATTTCAATGCTGCTCAAGGAAGTAGAGATGCAGCCTACTGAACATGAAGGTAAGAAGAGAAACAGACGTACGCACAGACCATTTATCTCGTACAAGGAACACTACAAATCATATTAAAAGCTTTCAAAGAAACAGGAGCTGCAGATAGACCACAAGCCAGCTTCGATACTCAAAAGCTAGAGAATCAGGACATAAATGACACCTTCACTGCAATCATAAGAAAAAGAGTGGAGAAACAAATCAACACTAGCGAAGAGACCAGCGTTGAAAAGCACGAGAACAAACTGAAAGTGGTGTGGAGTCAAACTTGCATGTAAGTTCTGGGCAGAAAGAAGAGACAGGACACATGGAGACTAACAGAAGAGAGGAGGATGGTGAAACAAAAGATTATCCAGTACATAGACGAGCGAAAGAAACAGGGGATGAATACAAGCTACAATACACTTAACAAAAGATTAAGGGAGAGTGGTAAGGCAGACAAAAGAATAATTTATGGAGCTCTGACAAGTAAAGGAGAACAAGTTGCAGTGCACGCCAAGGAGACTTCGCAACACTCTTCCAAACAACTAGGTTTCTATCGGGGAAGAGATCAACACAAATTAAGTCAGTGAAGGATGACAATGGAAAGTCAATCACCAAAGAAGTGGAACAAAGGAAACGCTGGGATGAACGCTTCAAAAGACTCCTCAATCGATCACCGCCCACAACACGCCTAATAATGCTAACAGCGGAAGCAGAACTACCAGTGGATATGATATGTAGTCACATGATATCTACCTTGTTTTGATAGTCTGTTATATTTTGCTATGTGTATATTGGACGATTTCCATTATAACTGACAACATGCTTTTATCTGTCCATTAACTATATAAACCCGAACGTTTCATCACAAAAGCTATGAAGCCGAAAACACAAAAACCATCCATGCTTACTGCTCCCAAGAAACTTCTCTATTTGAATCTACAATTCAACGGAGATTCTTCAGCAGAAATACTGAGAAACCGCCTATGCCGTTCACTGAAGAAAACCTTCTTCGCAGCGGAACTCAGACTAACTTTCTCTACGAAACCAATGATTCGCACGAACGTGAAGGATAAGCTTCCACTGGGGGCCTCATCAATGTGCATCTACCAATTCACCTGCTCATGTGGAGCTAGGTATGTCGGCCGTACCCAGCGTTTGCTATCCAAACGAATCAGCGAACACTTACCTTCATGGTTTTATAAAGGAGAAAGAAGATCCCCCCGCCACAGCTCTATCCTAGAACACTTGATCGAATCCGGACACCAAGCGAACCCACAAAACAACTTCTCAGTTATCTACACAATACGTGGAAATCTTGCCAAAAGAGTACGAATTAAACTTCTTCAAACTGCAGAAGCAATGGCAATTCACATATTGAATCCTGAACTCTGCATACAAAAGAAGTTTGTTCAGTCACTAAATCTACAATGGTCTTGATCTATCTTAACACCAAATACGTAATTTTGTCTTACCTCTTTCTTCTTTGTTTGTCTATTTCTTAATTGCATTATTTTCTACCCCCACCTTCTATTAAATCTCTACGCTCATGACGACTGTTGCTAACTCGATTTTCGTTTATCTTTAAGTGAATTCTACTCAGCTTATTAACTTAACTCTCATTCATTTTCAAGTGAATTCTACTCAGATTATTAACTTGACTCTCATTCATTTTTTCATTGAACCCTACCAATTAGATTACGTCACCCAACCTACTTTTGTAACTTTATTTTAGTTTCTAACCGATTAACGCCTTCAAAATTACGTAATTTGTTTGTCAAAAACTAACAATTGCATTAACACATCTTTGGAAATATTCCTTTTGTTGCCAAGACAAATTACTATAAATTTGCGATTTGTACAGCTTGAGAATGATATCGCCGAAAAGAGTAACTCTTTGCTGAACACTTTTTCTTTTCTATAACAATGTATGACCTTGTTGTCACATGACGTTACAACCAATCATGGTAAGACTGTCTGTCTCTTGGTTCGTGTATATTGGTCATTTTCATATATACTTTTGTATTGTATACTTGTTCACACATCTCGTACCCTACGTACCCTTCACTCTCACACTTGTGAGACAGTCATCTTTTCCTTCTTTGAAAAATACAAGTATCATCGTGAACGTGGTGGACTTCTGACTTTCCTCTTTCCGCGTCAGGACTTTTAACCACAGCAGCAGTACATAACAGGATAACAACGCTCCAACGAAAGCAGAAGTCCCAAAGACCATAGAGATGCTAAAATCTGCAAAAACAGCAGGACCGGATGGAACCCCCACAAAAACACTGAAAATGAACCCAGAGACATCAGCCATCGGACTTGATGACACCACTGCTGGAGAAGGTGTGGAAATAGGACCAGGTACCTGCTGATTGGAGGAAAGACTACCTAACAGGACTGCCAAAGAAAGGAGACTTAAGCCAATGTGAGAATCGGGGCGGGATTATGCTGCTGTTGTCCATCCCAAGTAAAATACTAAGCAACATCATCTCAGAGAGAATCAAATACGCCTTAGGTGAAAACTTCGACCAAAACAGGCTGAATTCAGGAGAAACAAGTCAAATATTGATCAAATCTCAACACTACGGATCATCATTAAACAGAGCTCTCAGCTTCAACTTCATTGACTTAGGAAAGGCCTTGGACAGCGTCGGTCTAGAGGTCATTTGGAAACTACTTCGCTACTAACGAATCCCGCCAATAATTGCACACCTCATCCAATGAATCATGATTGGACAAAGTTTTTTAAAAAAGAGAAACGTTCCTTTTATATATAAACCTCCGTTATGTTAATTTCGATTAATTTCCCTGAAGAAGTCCTGACCGGATTGGCAAACGAAACGTTGGAAATAATCATTTCAGTTTCGCTGAGATTTTACAAGTATAATTTTTTTTTTTAATGTGACTTATTAGATTATACAGTCTATTAAGAATTTATTTTGTTAACAGAATACTTGCAGTAAATTATTTCGTCGAAACAATCAATGCTTAATAACCGTTAGCCTATTCCTTGATCTTAAAATCATTCGTAGAATCAATAAATGAGTAAATTTTTAATCTTTAAGAAGTATTTGTTAGTTAAAAGTTTTGTAATTCACTTACATGTCTATGATGATGTCTACGTCTACGTTCGTATTTCGGTGTCTTCTGACAGGTTACTAAAACACGAGCATTGTAGGCTTGGCGTAGTGTATTGAGTAACTCTATTCTCTGTAAGTACACAATAATTATAACATAAAATAACAGGTGAGTGTTGCTAAACAGGTTCAATACTTGATTAGGTATTTTGTTTTTGTTTTCATTTTCTCATTAAAAGACAAATCAAGGTAGTAGAATGATTAAAATAATAAGTTCTCAGTAGGGTTTCCACCTTCATTTGAATGGCGTTAATTTCCTCTGGAATTTTTGATTAAAACTATTCAACTTGATAGGGGAGTTAAGAGGTCCGAATATAGATTACATACAAGAGCCTTAGAAACAAAATTACACGGGATTATAGAGAATTACAGATGTATAGAAAATGAGCATGGAAACAAAAATTGAAATAATAATTTCAACTTGAAATGGAAGTTAGGAGGTGTGAATATAGATTACAAGAGCGTTAGAAACACAAAATTTGCACAGGATTGAGATATAATTGTAAAATAGATAATTTTTAAACGAAATTATAAATGTGAACAGACGAGGTATGGAAACAAACTTAAAATAACTTTTTATAACTGAAAATAAATGGGGTGAATCGAATAAAGATAGAGAGAGTAAGAATCACACCCACACACACAGCGAACGAAAAAAGGAAAAAAATGAAAGCTAAGGGAGAATACTGAACTAGGTCCATGGTAGTTGTAGAGGTTGGATTAATTTCCTTTGAACACAGTTTCGGCTTCTCGATGCAAATTGCGAGGGCTTCTGCAGTACACAGAAGTCGGAATCATACTGCTTTTGGTAGGTTTCTATTGACTTTGTAAATCACCTTGAAAGAATCAGTTGAGATGTTGTGGGAGGTGTTGATCATATGTTCAATAATGGCACTTCTGATTGAACCGGTGCCTCTTCTTTGCAGCCACGTTGGGTAATGTTCTCTAACACGTTTTGAAAGGACGCGCATACAACGACCTATATCCCTAGCTCCAGACGAGAAGGTGAACTGGTATATGCACATTGAATTGGTCATATGCGAGAGTTTGTCCTTTGTGTTGTTTCGAAGTATTGGACGGCTAGAGAATGAAACTCTCAGTGTTACTGCAGGGAAGGTCTTCTTTAAAAAGCTGAATATTCTCCTCTTCAGGATGCCAACTGCCAAATCTCCCCTGAAATTCAGATTTAGATACAAAGTTTTCTTTGGCGCTGAATCGCATTCTTCTCTTTTTGGTTAAGGTTTCATGTTCTTTCGACAAAACCTATCGGGTAACCATTTTGAGCTAAGATATTTTTGAGGAATAGGAGCTCCTCTTCTATGCAATCGCTGCTGAAGATTTTTCTAATGCGATGAGTTAGCGCGGTGATGAGAGCTAGTTTTTGGCTCAAAGGTATCCAACTGTTGAAATGCGTTAGTTGGCCATTCCATGTCGGTTTTCTGTTGATGGACCTTTTCAGGGTTCCATCATCTCTTCTTGTTAATCCCACGTCCAGAAATGGAATCTTTGAATTGTTTTCTAATTCCACTGTGAACTTTTAATCGAAGCATAGGAATTATTGAATTCTTGTATGATGCAGTTGAGATCCGAGTTATCGTTGCAGGTATCGTCAACGTACCTTTGGTACAGTAGTAACTTGTTTATTGTTGATGTTAAAACTTCACTCTCCCAACTGGCTATAAAACAGTCTGCTAGAAGCTGGCCAAGAGGAGATCCCATTGCTATTCCCTCTTTCTGTTTGTAGATGTCGCCGTTGAAGGTGAATTCTACATTCAGCGTGCATCTCAGCAACAATTCCTTCAGATATGATATTGGCACTCCGACGCTTATATTGCATTTCTCCGTATTCACACCTCCTAACTCCCATTTCAAGTTGAAATTATTATTCAAATTTTTGTTTCTATGCTCATTTTCTATACGTCTGTAATTCTCTATAATCCCGTGTAATTTTATTTCTAAGGCTCTTGTAAAAGTATCCAATCAGCAGGAAATAGTTATGCACAATGCGTGTGTGCTGTGTGAAAGTGAAAATATAATTCTTCAATGTGTACAATAATTTCGTCTTTTTAAAATATTTCATACATTTGGTTCCCTTGATAGAGAAAGAAGGAAAAACAGAAAGAAGAGCTTCTATTCGGTTTTCAGAGCACAATCCGAGAAACTTATGCTTAAAAGGAAGGCGATATTTACAAAGTACAGTTACCAGACACACCCCTGTGGATGTGGGTCATTTTGTCGAGATTTCCAAATCTTTCAAAATAATAAACGTACAAAGCACAGCGAATCTACTACGATTTACAGTTGAAGCAATTACAATCAAACGTTTCAGACCAAAAACGTATGCACACAGAAAGACAGTGTAGTCAATCTCTCACTCCCTTGATAACCGTATTACTTTCATTACACTGATTAGTCATATGCACCAATAAGCCCAGCTCACTAAGGAAGTTTTCAATTTGTTGAACTTTAACCATCTTGAGTTGCCATGTTGACGCACAATCTAACACTGTTTATTAGATTTTTCTGCTTTCTCTCAACCCCATCTCTTTTTTCCCGTAGTTTGATAGCATATAAATTGATGGTGACTTAAACTAAAAATTGTAATACTTATATTCCGGATGCGTTCATTTGATAATATTTTCACTATTACCTTTCAAACATTGAAGTATGAAATGTTATTATTTATAACCATTGTAATTTCAGGTAGTTTGCAGTTAGCTGATGAGAATCTGTGAGTAGATTCATATCATTTTATACTGAAGATCTGGTCTTTCTTCCTCTATCGAAATTTCGTCTTTATCTGGTATTGATGTGCTTTCTCAGCTGGATAACTTCAAAGGCGTTAGTTAGCTCTGAAAATGTTATTTTGAAAAAGAAATCAAAGTTTCATGATTAAACCATCCAGCGCACAGAACGCAATAACAACAACCATAACGACAACAGACGATCCACCTACATGAGCTACTGAAACAGAGTACTGAATTTCTTCCATTCACTAAAATTTAACCTTTGCGTTCGAAGGGAATTCGTTGTCAGGTGTTGGTTTGCAAGAATCCGATTGATCTTAATCTAGATCATGAAGTGACTACAGTTAGAGTACCACTGAAAACTGAGGAGATATTGATAACCGCCCCGTCCTTGCTTGGGACTCTTCGTAAATACGCATTCACCACATTAACCTTAGTTGGATGTAAGGACAAATATTCGCCGAAGACATTGGCTGACGGTCGTGGTATACATCGTAAATTGACAGAAGATAGATTTGATAAGCTGTTAGACCATATTTTAGTGGCTGAATGGTGGTATACGTGAATTGGTTGGTAATTTCATAGTAATCAATCAGTTCATGCATTATAGTCCTACACGAGGTTTAAACGTCACGTGGAATATCTCATCACTGCTGATGTCTGTGACAGCATAACTAGGAGACACTGGCTTGAATCTCAGAGGGAAAGACAGTTCCTTCAAAGTTACAGATCTGCATTACTAGCAAACAAAAGACCTAAGTTCAAATCATTCCTGCTGATTCTGGTTAAACAACCAACCAACCAACCAAATGAATGTTCATTGTAACTTTTATGTAATTAGCGTTACATATATTTAAACAAAATTTTTAAATCCAGTGAAATAAAATCAATTCATTCATCTATTGCTTCAGTATTTTCGAAGGGACTTTTTGTACAAAGTTGTAGGCAGAAGAAAATAACAATAAAAATTGTCATTGTTATGCTATCTTTCATTATCAGTATGAGATTAAGAGATTGGAAGTTGTTAATCCAAGCATCGACCCTTTTCATTGATAGTCAAGCAATAAAACAAATAAATTAATGTCGCATTTTGGTTGTTGTTAGCTCAAAAATGAATTTGATTCTGTTACCCAGTTGGAAAAACTTGTTTCGTAATAGTTTTGTTGTATTCCAAACCAGTTTTTGCGCACAAATTGTTTGGTAATTTAATTAAGCGTCATCTTCATTTGAAAAAAAATTGGATGGAGGATTTCATCATGAGCTGACATTGATCAGAGAACCACTGGAAAACAATCTGGGAGTACTGGACAGATGTTTTGTCAGCCTAGTTTGGGACTCTTTATCAGCACGCACACACCGACAGGGTTCGAATCCAGGACCTTCTGGTTACAAGACTAGCGAACTCAAAGACCATGGAGCCACTGGGACCCAGTCCGATGGCTAGTCAGCCCATGAATTCTAACTTCTGCCATTTCACGACATAGCGCGACCATTTCGCAATGTCTTCTTTGATGAGTTACTGGCTCATTTTCAACCTGTGGTACCCTACAGTTCATGGCTTCACACTAGAACCCCAGGTTAACTGAATGAATAGGCCTATTCGCTAGTGAGCATCAGATTAATTTTCAGGTATTGGTTTCGTAGGGATTTTGTTTGATTGGATGGAGGCAGTAACTCATCAAAGAAGACATTGCAAAATGGTCGCATGGTAGCATAAAAAGAAATTTGCATAGAAAAACTACTTGGACGGGACAATGTACACATTTTCACAGCTTCATTCCTCTCCGATACAAAAGACATTTAGTGAAAACCCTCAGCGACAGAGTCAGAGCTATATGCTCATAAAAAGCAACTGAAGACAAATTAAGCATTGTATATAATACGTTGATTGAAAGTAGCTATCCCGACAAATTTATCGGGAAAAGGACTACTCACTATCCGTAAACAAGAAGCCTCTTTATATACGATCGCAATTCAATGGCGATATACCAAGTAAAATAATCACAAAGAAGTTAAGAAGATCAGTTCAAAGAACTTTCAATGCTGGAGAACCACACATCTCATTTTCTACACGACCGATGGTGATTCCTTGACTCAAAGATGAAGTACCTAGACTATCCATTTCAAATTATATCTAACACTTCACCTGCGCTTGTGGAACTAGTTATATCGGCCGTTGCTTTAGGAACTTGATTTTTCGTGCTCGAAGACATCTCCCAGTATGGCTAATTGAAGGTGCAGTGGAAACCATCAACAGTTCGATATTGGACCATTTGGTGCAAACTGGCCACAAAGCCAGCCAGCATTGAAGAATCCTTCTCTATAATCTACCGGATGCCTAATAGATTTCCAAAAACATTGAAGCACCGCACGCTCCAAACAGTAGAGAATGTTGTGATTCGCCTCAAACAACCAGTGCTCTGTGTGCAGAAGTAGCAAGTCCAAACAGCCAGTACTGCTACCCTGGTCGGCCTTCAGTAGAGACTATAAATTCATCAATTTTCAATATTATCTTTCTTAATTTTTCTGACATTCAGCTTATTTTATGTTGATGCCACTGAACTGTAATCCACTGATATTATTACTGATTCGATGTTACCTAAACAGCATTAATGTTTTTCATAACACTGATTCACTCATTCACTATTATGTACAAATAATGAAGAGCAGGTTATCGAACAGAATATTCATTGTTTAGTTTCCATTCTTTTGTAAACTATCGATCAGTTAATATTGCTAATAATTCTATTGTATCACATTCACTTTTGACAGAAAGTGTAATTTTGTGGTTTAAAATCATTCCATGATATTTCATGAGTTACTAGGCTTTTTCGGAACTATTTAGACCTTTTGGGATATGATATGTGGTGCTAGCTTTACCATAATTTCAAATTCTTTTCAATTCTAAAATAAATAAATAATAATAGTTTTAAAACTAATTACTAATTGAATGACAGTTTCACTTACTCCTAATAACTGATTATTAGCTGGTTGAATTCCGTATGTATTCAGTGTGCTAAAACATTAATAATAAGATAGACAGCTTGGTTACTTCCTGTGTAATATGATTTACACTAAAATGACAGTGGCGTTCTTAAGATTTTCAAATAACTCCACTTACCTGGGAATTACTCCGAAAGGCTCAATAAACTTGACAAAAATAACATGACATGACTGAAAGGTAAATGAGTTATTCAAATCTTAATAGTTTCTATATTTCATTCCTAAATTGCTTATTGTCTGTCTGTCTGGATTCAACATAGAACTTGGCACCGAAGTGCAGCAGTTCGAGTTGCCACCTTCCAAATAGCACACAGAGGTAGACAAGAAGATGAGCGAAGAGCATCACTAGAGTTTGACAAGTATAAGAGTGAAACAGAATGGGTAATGGTAGAAAGGAATATGAAAGATTACAGAGACTGAATACATCTGCGCTGGCCATTGACAACGATTTTGAGCCATGTCACCTATTGTCTCCAGCCATTGATTCCTAGTGTCCCGAGGGCCCCAACCCGGGAGTCTGCATCTCCCTCCCTACCTGACTCAGTTTTACTGTCAAGGATTTCGTGGATTGATGAGGCCATGTTTTTCTTTGGCCACCACTGGCTCTTTTCCAACCTGCACCTATATCAGCTAGTAATGCCCGTCGGGGGAGGCGGTGGTTAGGCATGCGCACCACCTGACCTAGCCATCTCAATCTGTGTAACTTTATAGCCTCGTCGATTGATTTTCCCTCTTTGCCCAACACTCTACGCCTAACGTCAACATTACTTACCTTATTAAACCACCTAACGTGAGACAGAGATCGCAGACATCTATGATCGAAAGCAGTCAACTTTTTCATGTCTTCAACTCGTATTGGCCATGTTTCAGAGCCATAGAGAAGGACGGAGCGAACTGTTTAGCAGTACACACGTCCCTTGGTTGATAACCGGATGTCACGCCTACGCCAGAGATGGTGTAAGTCAGCGAAAGCAGCTCGAGCTTTTCGGATCCGTGCTGAGATTTCGTCGCCAATCAGTCCGTTGGTGCTGATACAACTTCCCAAATAGGTGAAGTGGTCAACATGACCACAGGAAGAGATTAAATAATAAGGCATCGGTGCTAACAGGCAAGTGTATCCATATTTTAGCCTTCAAAACTAAAAATCTATCCATCTACCGGCTTGTTGCCTTTTGTCAATCTCATTTTCACATATCGAATCAGAATGAGGAACTTGTCTTATAAGTGATGATGAGACCTTTAAAGATAATGGTGATCCCGGTTGCGTGATGACTTAACTAACAGTTTGTTTTGTCCACCTCACCATCTTTCCTCAATTCACCTCAACAAATTGACTCGGTACAGTGTTCAGTCTCTTTTTATTTGATTAAAGCCTGTTAATGAATTCGAAATATAATTTTTTATTATATTATTCGTTTGAGTCCCCAGTGGAGCATAGGGCTTCAGGGTAGAGGCCCAAAGTTTCAGTAGCAGTCATAGTTTTTATGGAATGAGGAGGTGCTAGCCTCACGTCCAACCTTTCAGTGAGTTAGTAGGGGAAATGAACCCCCGGACAGATCGCCTCGTTGGCCAACAACCTACCACTGAATCACCGATGTTAATTTGAAAATATTTGCATGCTACTATTTACTTGTTTAAGTAGCATATTTTGTAAATTATCATTTTATGGGAAATCGTCAAATGCTGATAAATTCACCATTCACACCTGGTAAAGTAATTCTTTAATATAGAGAAGAATATCAATTATTCGTCAGAGAGGTATAACTTACTTCAGTAAATCGATTTTATCTCTTAAAATTAAGGATGTATTAAAATAGCCAAGTTCATCAGATATTAAGCTGTCTTCTGTTGCACATTGGCCGTGTTTATACCATTCATGTTCCCTTTGAAACGATAACAAGGGAATAATAAAATAAAATAAAAGCTATGTCATTGAGAATAAGATGACTGAAACACAATTTTTTCTAAAAAAAATTGAGTATATAATTTGACTGATGCGTTATTTCTACTGCTATTGGTTACCCCTCATCTGTTCTTAAGCTGGTAAAACGCAACAAAAATCCAAGAGGGGTAAAATAGGGTCAAGTTAAACTTTAAGCACCATTAACTACCAATGGAGTACGACTGTGCCAATTATTCTGAATGGGCCAATGAGTTTTGTCACGTGATTTCAAGCTTTCATTCCGCTTAATTAGTGTGAAGTACTAGCTCTAACAGGCTTATGCGTGCTTAAGTGATTGGAAAGGGAAGAATTTTTCCCTTTGGTGGTATCATGAGTATAAGAAGCTTCGATAGATCGGTTGATGGACATGTGTATCGTTGTTCAATTCGTCTGAGACGAGTTAGTGTCAGGGAAGGTAAGCTGATGATTTTTCAGTTTCTTAGGAATATTTTTACCTGGTCCCGTCTATGCTTAACTCAGATTTCGTATATTTGTAATTACTAGGTTTTGAAACACGCTATGAGAGCTACAGTGGCTCAGATAGAAATTCTGTCGTTTCAACATTTCAGTGGTACCAGCACTGTAGGGATATCACAACCTTGACAATGGAGACACTTACTTCCTTAATGGGAAGAGAAGCTGTCATTGTACATGAAGATGAAACTATCTTGTTAGAGAGGAAATACAACGATGGTTGAGAACGAGAGAATAATGTTTGGATGATTGGTGTGTACGATGCCTGTCTACGGAATTGATTCGTCGAGGGAGCAGCAAATACAGTGTCCAGTACTTCACTACCGACTATCATTCGACTGGTGAAACGAAGATCTAGAATACACACAGATGAGTGTGAAGGGATATAATTGGTTGTCATCCCTGGGATAAATTCACCATGAAGTAAAATACACTAGTGATTATGTGTATCCTACTACGCGGCGACTCTTTTGGAGGATTTTAGGCAATATTGAAGATCAGGACTATAGCCATTCGCGGATCTCAAAAGGATGTTGTTTACAACCATTGAGATGAATACATGTATGGAATATGGTTTAAGTTCTCTGCGGATACTTTTCTGGACAACTGTGAGTTCTTTTTATCCCATGTGAGAGAAAGGCATCTTGTGTAACACTTTTATACAATTTTTTATGCATTATTTTCATAAATATAGCTTTTTCCATGTGATTGGTGCATTTAGGGTCATTCGCTGATTGGTAGTTATTTGTGCTTAAAGTTTAACTTCGCCTAGCATTTGTCTCATATTATTTATTCTGTATTCATATGAATGTCGGCAAAACCTGGTAGTAGTTCATCGGTCTCTTGTGCAAGCTTACTGTTCTAACGACCACCAGCACAACAGGATGCCACCAGCATGCGACGAAAGGGAGACAGAAAGGAGACATACCATCAAGGAGATAGCTTTTAGTGTCTCGGATCAACAGAGAAAAAGCTGGACAGCGATTCCTATTTATATGGGTTATAAATGACCTTCAAATACTATAATTTCATTGGTAAGTTGAAACAGTTAACAACCAGTAGAGTTCAGCATTCATAATGTAGGTGGAAGGGAATACAAACAATGCGGTACCGTAAATAAAGGTAGTAGTTTAGGGCTTTGAAAAAACAAGGTGCATACAACAGGTATCTTGTCAATTGTTCACAAAGGGGACTATAAAAAGTATTTGGTCATATTGAGTCCCAAGCACTAGGACAAAACAGCTGTCTAGTACTCCAAGTTTCTCCAATAGTTGTCTAACCGATGTCAGCAGCTCATGAAGAAATCCTGTAACCAGTCAATCAAATTCCTGCATACCAATGCTTAAATCTTTAAAAGCCTGGCATAAAAACCTGACTGATACGTTTAATTGTATTGCCAACTGGACGTGTCAGAGCAATTGGTCCTCTTCAATCAGCTAATTCAACTGTATTCTGTCTCACATACTGATAGAAGAAAGAGCAGTCTTTTCAAATGTTACACTATCATGATAGATATAGCTAGAAAGTATATTTATGAAGAAACTAGGGAAGAGAATCACCACATTCCATAGAACTATTCCTTTTTCGCAGTATTAAATAAGCAAAATATTTGAAAATAAAAGAGCACTAAATTTTGAAAACTCTTACCAAAATGGTATCGGATTTTGATAGTCCTTCAAATTCACCCATTCAGAGTCTAATTGCCCCCTGATATCCTGAAACAAAATTTAATTTAGCTGATTAGGAATGAATTAAGTTTAAATTTGTCTTTAAAACTGTCAAAGAAACATCAAAATTGAAGTAGAATGTGATTAATGTTTCAGCATTTTCCAGGACTTATTGACAGTGAACACCTGTAAGAACTTCCATGCATATAGCCATTTTGGCTTTTACGAGTTTGACCACGGATTGATATCAGTTAGAGAACTAATACTACTACTAGACAGCTGTTTCATTTTAGTTTTGGGATACATCGGCAGTACGCACCCACCACCAGGGGTTCGAACCCAGGACCATCCGGTCACAAGGCAAGCTCGTATACCACCCTGGGTTCGAACCCCCGGTGATTCTCAAAAAACAAGGATGAAACAGCTGTCCAGTACTCCCTAGTTTTCAGTGGTTCTTTAGCTGATATTAATCCATAGTCAAACTCATAAAAACAAAACTAATCCTTACAAACCAAATCGTGAAAATATGGCTTTTTTGTAATGGTTCAGCAGGTTAAACTATCCAAGTCTCATCGTTAATATAAGATAATATGTGACATAAATACAGGTGTATAATGTTTGTACAGAATGTTGTTTAAAGCGTATACTGTGAGTGGCAAAAATCAGGAATCATAGGTAATTACAGTCGCTTAAATTTAAAGAAATTCCAACTTGAACTGTATAATTTGCAAAGGAATAAGTTTCAAGACCACTCACTCCAACACCATTTGAGTCAGGTAGCTGACCAGATTTTAGGATGGTTTTAAATTGATTCACTTGCCTAAATTCAGTAGTATTTTAAACTACTTAGGTAATATTCACTATTCACTATTTAAACAGTATCACTGGATACAGCATTACAACAGACAATGTGTAGCGGCTGGCTTAAAGCCTGGTCTAGGGGAAAAAACTTTCATTAATATGTATTGCATATAATTTCTCTTATTCACTTTGTTTAAATCTGGTAATATATGACCACCAATAGTATTGTTAACTCTGGCGAGTATTTGAAACATTTACAACCAGCTGATTGGCAAGTTTCTATTAAACATGAGGCGGAAAGCCTTATCCTCGATAGATGGCAGCTTATCCTACTGTACATAAGATAACTGTTCCTAAATGCTGTCCTTAATTCACAAAATGTATTCCTGAACTATTTGTAATTGACATTCAACAAATTGTCGTCGTGTATTTCTCGAAGAAAGCAAAGAAGAGATACCATAATGCATTGGTTAACCTATTTCTCAGCCATATGACAAGATCCGTGAACTTCTGATACATTACTTCCATATAACTACTTTCGAGAGACGAGAGAGGGCTCAGTTCAACAAACTGGTTCGTGCTCCCAATCAGAAGATTCGAGACTTCATTCTTCAGCTTCAAATACAAGCTTCAAAGTGCAACTTTGGTGATCAGCTGCATACTCAACTACGTGATCGTCTAATTGCTGGGATCAATATTCCTAAGTCAGAGAAAGAGTTAATTCAGATTCCTTCGTGTACCTTTCAAACTGCTAACGATTTATGTATTACATATGAAGATGTCAACAGTGAATATCAAGCTTCCACTACGTCAGTATCTGATGTCATGCTGTCCAAAGTCGAAAATACAAGTGTTCATGGAAAGCAATCCAAACTGTCGTCCACATGTAATAGAATGCAGCCAGAGATCAAAAACATTAAACCGTGTTTATCCTGTGGAAACTTACATCTACGAAGCACTTGCCGTTTCGGGGTGCTAAGTGTTATAAATGTGGTAAAGTTGGACACATCAAGACTGTTTGCAGAAGTTCGAATACTTAAGTCACTCAGAATTCTTGTAATTCTCCCAGTCGGTCTAGTAAAATGGAGTCAATGTGTCTTTCAACTTTTCAAAATACTCAATCTCATCCAATGAAAACCTCCACTACAACTTCAGCAAATCAAGCGTCAACTGTTTTCAAAAATCAGGTAGCCAAGTTACAATGTGAACTGTCGAAAACACGAGAAAAACTGAATGAGAAGAGAGAGCAACTGATTGAAATGGAGGAATCGCTGCATATGCATAGACTACGTCTGTTGAATGCAGAACATACAAGTACCCATGGAAGTCCTGCAAAACTATTCAAATCTCGAATTCTCAGAAAGCATCTGATGTCCACGACTTCTAATGTACATTATTACAAAGGTAATGACTATAGACCTTCTGCTGGAATCATACTACAAAAAATTGCAAATCGAGTGGCGAAGATATTAGACATCGAAGATAATTCAGTTCACAACAGACACTTGGATCAAGTGAAAATAAATGAAGTAGGTCGTTCCGATTATAATTTTAATGATTCCGCTACTAATCCTGATTTGGTAGATAATTCAGAAATAAGCCTGGATGATAGTGATAGAAATAATATCACAGAATCAGTTAGAAGATCACAGAGACTGGTAAGCAAATCGCGATATCATTATAAATACGCAAGGAGACATTCGACGTGTGGCGGATGTGGTGATTGACTATTTCTATCTCTGTATTGTTTAAATACTTACTGTTTATTGTTAATATATTTCTTATATGGATTCAATATAATTCCGCCAAATACAAATTTCCAGAATTCCGCCCTCTCTGTGTTTTGGTTGGATTCTTGTAATTCGGTCATCTCGAACTACTAATACTACTAGTACAAGAAATTACAACATTGTTCATAATTCCAATTTGGATAGTGGATTCGTTCTCCACACTTTTGCTTAAATCTTCATAAAATTTAACATATCTATTACTACAACTCAGTAGAACTCCAATACACACAATACTAAATTCTATTTTCTTCACTTTAAAAACCTTTATTTTAAATTCTACAAGGCAATTTTCGTATGCGAATTCTGTGTACCCAAATAGTTTTCCTGGGTTTTTTATTCTCAGTGGTATTGTAAAAGAAGGAAAAGAAATAAAAGGTTGGGAGGGGGAGTGTATTTGTATGTACTTCTTCGTTTATTCTCACATCAGTTTCGTTTAGAGAAGTATGCATATAAGTAGAATGTATAGTAATAAAAACATAAACATTGGAAAGGCTCATTTCATCACTCATATTGAATATGTCGTTCAGCTTGAAAATGACACGTATTCTATTTTAATGAATGCTACATTATTTGAAACAATTAATTCAAGAATTACCATATTAGTTTGTTTATTAGATGTATCACACAGTGAAACAGTACAACTGTTTACTGGATGGCAAGGTTTCGAACGAAATTCGAAAAAGATTCGATCAAACCTATCAAAGGGAGTAAAATCAAGACATCTGGGCATAGCCGAGGCGCTAGCTATATAAAAGCTCAAACCCACGCTTTGTATACAAAAGAAATACGTCCAACCCCTGTCCTTGCCATGGCCATCATAAACAGGTAATTTTTAGTAATGACCATCCCATCGCCTTTCTTAACTAAACTTCCTGTTTATTCATGTTATTTCAAGTTTTTCTTAATCCCTGTTTACACTACCATATTTTCATACCCGAACTTCGTGTTTATTTTGTCATTTTACTATTTCTACATATTTAATCCCTGATTGCATAAACAATTATTCATCACATTAGTTTTTTATCCAAACATCCTGTCCATTTTGTTATTTCTACATTTCTAACCCCCAACTGCACAATGTCAATCTTCTTAGTTATTATGATGCTACTTTGTTTGGGTTTTATCCGTCTCCCTGTTTACTATGGCATTCTAATTCCCAATTTTAATTTTTATTAATTTGACCCTTAACCGGAAATTATTCTGGAACTTTCTCATCCATTTGATATAAATACACGAATGTACAGCCTAGATGATGACTTCGTCGAAAAGAAAATTTTCTTCGCTGCAACTGTCTTCTTATTTACTCCTATGACCCAATGTGTATATTCCTTAAATTTATTATTGTTCACAATCATATCAATTATAATCACACGACTGCGAAACTTGAGTTTTATAGTTTTCTTTGTTCTTTCGTATTTGTCGTTGTTGGGGTAGTAGAACTTTCCAGACGTCCTGTTGGACAGGTGTTGAACCATTCCTGTTACACGTATTTCCGTTCAATTGATTCGATAAACAAAGCTTCTGCACTCTGTTCTGTTAGATTTTAAAACTGTCATCTTATCCCATGAGTCATACTGTGTGGTTGTGTGCAATTGCATGTAGTGAGTGGTATGGCTGAACTATTCTCTAGATTTCTTATCTTATTCCGGTCAACTAATCTAGATTTTGCCGCTAGGTTTCTATGTTCGGTTAGTCTGACTGCCGCTGTTCTACTACTTTGATCTATGTATTTGACCTAACAATCATTGCTGGGTATTAGATGTAACAAGGTGGAGGAAAAGATCTATAACTGAAGCTTTATGTATCGAATCCACTGAACAGGAATGGTTCAACACCTGTCCAACAGGACGTCTGGAAAGTTCTACTACCCCAACAACGACAAATACGAAAGAACAAAGAAAACTATAAAACTCACGTTTCGAAGTCGTGTGATTATAATTGATATGATTGTGAACAATAATAGATTGTGTTCGAAACCTTGTCATCCAGTAAACAGTTGTACCGTTTCACTGTGTGATACATCCAATAAACAAACTAATATGGAAGAATTTGATTTTCTTAAAATCTGTTTCATTATGTTAAAGAATATGGTGTGCCAGTGAATTGGAGAAAATGGATCTCTAATTTTTGAGATTATCACTTCACTCTTGTTATGTCGATTGATGGTTACTAGTAGTGAAACAGAAGGTGAGTAAATCGTGCACTTTGAGATAGGCCTCCATCATCAGTGGCTGATGGTGTTCTCACTGAGACTTGGACCCAGTGCTAATCGTTTGACATTGTGAAAGCCTGTATCTAGTAAGCCGTTAGAATCATCACATCTTGCACTATGCATATCCATGGGTATTAGGAAACTGTTTAAATTAGACGGAACTCACCCACAATTTATCGATATCGAAGTTTGGATGCGCTGAACAATTTGTTGGTTGTTTACCGGGCCAAACAGAAGGCCTAACAAAAAAAAAACGTAGTTGAAGTAAAATCAAATTATGAAAAGAGAAAAAACAACCACTGACGCAGAATAATGTGCGTCTATTTTACATGTAATATTTTTTTCATTTCAAAAGGGTTCATAGCCTAAGGCTGTGACGATTTAAAATACAATCATTACTAAGTACAGTTATTATCATTATTATTTCCATGGGTTTCAAGTGGAACATATGTTTCCAGCAACACATCTCAAATTCCTTCTGTTTCGCGCCGCCATTTTTTTTTGTAACTGGCTCCACTACCATCCATAAGTCCTAATCTCCTCTTCATATGATCTCCCCTAAGTGATCTCTAGGAAGTTCAACTCGTCGTTCAATATTTGGGTAATCTAAACACTCTTAGAGTATTCAACAGCATACACAATATGATGTTATTTGAATAGTCATAGTCAGTAGCGGAATCTAAGTTGCTCATTCGGTTTCTTATAAGACTTGCTGCATCTGGATCTAGAACAATCATTCAATTATTATGACTACATGATATCTTTTTGGAAACTGCTTCAACACTATGGAGGGTCACAAATCCTTATCGGCCGCATTCAACAGCTCTATGACAATGCCAAACGTCAGGTGATCCACAACGGAAACTTAGAGAAGCCTTTGAAGTGAATATAGGGTTTAGATGAGGTTGAGTATTGTCACCGATGTTACTTATAATTGTGGTGGACTGGATTATGCGGCACACTGTGTGTCGGGAACAAAAGACAGAAAAACAGTGGGTCAATAAGAAGACTCTAGAAGATCTGAACTTCGCACATGGATGATATATGTCACACAAATCGGAAAGCCAACAAACTCGCTGAAGAAGCAGGCATTGAAGACATGCAACCAGGTGAACATAAAGACGGAGGTGATGAAGATAACCAACCAACAACAACTAGCACCAGTAACTACCAACGGGTGAGGTTTTACCGAGGTTACTTCCTCCACATATTTGGGAAGCCCAGTGTCAATAATAGGCTGTCGGAAGGGATGTAGATGTCAAAGCCAGCGACAATTGGAAAAACAACATACACCTTCATCAACCTGAAGTCAGTTTAAAAAATATCTTCGGTACTCTGCAGTATGAAGAATTAGGTTCAGGTTTTCAATACAAATGTGAAGTCAGTCAGTCAGTCACTTCTTCTATACGGGTCGGAAACTTGATCAACGCGTCACAGAAACCATTTCCAAGAGGCTATGGCAGATTTGTACCAACAGCTTCCTCCTTCACTAGCCCCATACTAAAGATTAAATGGCCAACCAGAAAGAATTAGCAATAAGAAACTCTGGGAACAAACCAATCAGGATCCTCTTTTCCGACAGATATGTAGAAGAAAATGTAAATGGATTGGGCACATAATGAAGAGACTACCAAATGATATAGCGTGCTGACCCATTGCTGGATTGGAACCCTAATAGGAAACGACGAGTGAGGCGTGAGTGTGTGACATTGAGGAGATTTTAAGAGGGGAAGATGAGAGGCTCAGTTCAAGATGACAGCAGAGAACAGAAGAAATGTGGAAATGTGTTGTTGAAGCGCCCTATTATATTCTTGGAAGTACCTGATGCAAATAAAGACCAGCTATAATATATTCATTACTTGATTGAGAATCTCTTTCTGAATGTTAATAGGATTAATCTTATGAAGCATTTTCAGTATCCCCTATGAATGCTTTCCAAATGGAAATAAAACAGGAATTCATTGATTGGCCTTTTATGATGCAACCGATTTTATATATCTAGTCCTTCATATTGGTTTCGACTGACTATCATTGATTCGAATCTTCGAGGAGACATCAGTTCTCTTTGGGCTAGCAAATATACCCTGATGACAAATGTGGATTGTCTCCAACTAAGTAACATTAATATAAACGATCTTTAAATTTCCTCTCTGCTCTGACTAATGTCATTCTTAAATGAAACCATCTCCAGGTAAGATGTGTTTCTTGTTGGTATTTATCTTATCACATTTAGTGATGCAATCAGTAGGTGATCAGAAGTTGTTTTTTTCAGAAGATAAGGTGATCCAGATTACTTCTTCGAATTTAATAATCGTACTATCATTGTTTATTAAGAAATCAGAGTTGAATATAACATTTAAAGTCTGTCAAGGAAATATTATCTTACCATAATCCATGAATATTGAAATCATTCATTCTTGGTGGCAGTTTACACTACAAAAAATAATAAATAAATATTTAAAATCGATTATTTCTACTGCCTTCACAATAATACCACTGAATAAACTGAAGTAATAATTCAAAATGTGAGTCAATGGTTCAATAATAGAATTCTATCCAATCTCATACTCAATCCGGATTTAATTCCCAATTGATAAACTCCCGAACCTTAGTGAACCTGTGGTCAGCAGAAAAGGTGGGAAGGTTGAGAGCACAGCTAGCAACACCACCGCTATCGAATCTTCCAAGGTCAAGCTTACAGCCCTATGTTTCACTAGGAACGCTAAAGAATTATATATATATATATATATATATATATATATATATATATATATATATATATATATATATATATATATATATGTATATATATAATGCATTTTAATAAAACACGGTCGTATAAGTTTAAGTTATATCCATTCTATGAAATAATAAAGAAGATTTGTAGCTCAGGTGGATGATTTGCAATTAATAGTGTTCTCTGAGCTGGTTGGTTTAGTTGTGGAGCTTTCGTCACCCTTCTGGACAACATCTTCAGAGCAATATTTAGCATATTTATGCTAAATTCTATGAACTTTTTCAGTGAAAAATAATTATTGCTTGTATTCAATTAGCAGAAACCTAGTCTCATCCTGGTCGCCGATAACAATTATTTACTTTTGTTCTGATGGTTAATAACTCTTTTGATTATAGCTTGATTTCACACCGTAGTTTTGATACAAGTATGGAATTTTGAGCATGTGATATCGGTAGCCCAAATTTTGAAGGCCGACCGTTGATATAGGGTGTGCATCGACCGGGGATTGAACCCCGGACCATGTGTATGGTCAGCGAGAGTCCTAACCGCTGTGCCATCGATGCCAAACCCAAATTTTTCGCAGTTCAGGGATTTCTGCCTAATCCCGGATACAAGTCACGATGTAAACCGTGGAATGAATAATTTTGGGGGTAAGTAACTTGTTTTCTGATGCATACAACAATATACCACTGGATGATGTTGTAGAAGACCTGGGTAAAGGGATATTTATTAACAAATTCTTGAGCGTTGATTCACACAACATAATAATGAAACATTTTCACTGTAAGATAATAATTTGTTTGCTAACTGAATAATTCTGTTCTACAAGCAGAAAACATTGAAATACTAATAAACATGCTATATACTAGGCACACATATTATGATAATGATAATAATAATTTGTCTTATTCCAAAAACAGTACTAATGATACAGCAAGCAATTTTCAGCATTCACTACAATAATACATCTAATTCACTCAAAAACGACAATAAAAATTAAAAATACCCATTACATAATAGTAATAAAACGTTGTTATAGCAGCTACATAACAAAATAATGTATGCCATACGGAGAAAAATATACATAAAGTATAAAATTGTAGTAATAATAGTAATAACAACTAATATGAAATAGTGGAGTAATAATTAAACGACAGAAAGGGTGACATCATAAAATACAGAAAGATGAACAATGAAAGGGTCGATTTACTGTGCCAACTACATAGTAACTTATGTGTTTCACGTCTAACAGTCTTCATCACATAAAGTACGGGCTAAATAGGGTATTGTAGAATTTCTATACTTAGTAGTACGAGCATATATCTTTTTATATTGACTTCTCGTCCTACCTGATGAGATACAAGGGGATAGTTGTGAATAAAGGGGTTGCAGAGGGTCTAACAGTACGGTCTTTGCCCATTTTGTACAAGAATTCATGTGTCTCTAGACTATAGTATTCATGAGCTCACGCAGTAGCAGACCACAAACCCTACTCACAGCATTTAATGCGACTCGTAATATGATATAATCTTTTTTGAGAAGCCCAGGAAAGATTAATGGAGAGCAATAGGGTACAATAGGTAAAATACAGGAGTTTAAAAATTGCAAAACTAAAGGTTGGTTGATACCTGATTGTCTTAACATTTTAATGTAGAAGGTAAGATGAAACATTTTCTTAGAGATAGATAAGATGTGGGATGACCATGAAAGGTCAGAGGAAAGAACTAATCCAAGGTATTTAATGCTTGACTTGGTTTCAATTTCCGTGCCATCTATGCTACAGGGATCATGCGAACTAACTAGTTCATGTAAGTCACGTCGATGCTTGAAGTAAAGTCAAGTGCCTGACATTTGGAAGGATTTAATATAAGACCATTTGACTTGGACCAGTTGTTGATGTTCAACAGAAAGCTATTAAGTTTGGAGCTGTCAGACTCGGAAGTGATAGGCAGTGATACAGTCAGATCATCTGCATATTTGAAAAAGTTAGTTTTCGTTTGAATGAGGCAGGTCATGTAGGAAGAAAGAAAAACGAAAAGGAGAGAGTACAGCACCTTGTGGAACACCGGATTTTGTAAGCGAGGTAGAAGAAGATTTGCTATTATATACAGTATACTGCATTCTATCAGAAAAATAGGAATGCAATCAACCAGCCCAGGATCCTGTTTGTGTCAACGATAGCTTATTTATTTAATAAAAGGCCCCTAGGTACAGAGTCAAAAGCGGATGTGTAGTCTAGGAAAGCCCTCCGAACATATTTGGCATCTTTGTCTAAACAAGGAAAAACATTGTGATATAAGTCGACCGCAGCATCCAAGGTACTTTTACCATGTTTGTATGCAAACTGTTTGGGATCATTAAAAGGTTTCAACGAAGGTTCAAGACAAAGTAAAAGTAATTTTTCCGTCAATTTTAAAAAGGGAGAAGTAATTGCAATAGGCCGAAATTTAATATCAGAACCAGAAGATGGTTTTGGTATGGGGATAATTTCAATGTTTTTCCATGCAAAAGGTAGAACGTTACAGGAAAAGGAAACATTAAAAATGTTAGTGAGAGGGTGACTCAAAATATCAGCACAGTTCCTGAGGACAATGGCAGGTACACCATCAGGACCGAGGCTTTGGGAAGGCTTAAGAGACCGGAGACATTTAAGCACATCAAGGGTATTAAAACCAATAAAATTATTGTCAATATGATTTGTATCATTAGAATGGATATCGACAGAAGAGCGTATGAGAGATTTATTAAAAGCGTCAACATTAAGAGATGGGATAGAAGTACATAGCCTACCGTTAGTAATTTCTTTGAAAAGTTTCCATAAATTAGAAGGGGTTTTACATGACAAAAATCTTTGATTATATAAAACATTTAGTCTTTTCATTTCCAGTTTTATCAGAATGTTTAACTTTTTTACACCAGGCTTATCATTTGTTTTGAACAACAGTTCTTTATCTCTGCGTAGCTTTTTGAGATATGGCGAAGAGAAGCGATCAAATCGAATGAATAATGTTTCTTTAGGACAACATATTTCAAAACAGAATTTAAGATAATCGGTAGTGTTTGTGATTGTGTCATCTAATGTTTGTTCTGTAAACAAGTCCCAGTTAGTGTCTTTAAACATGCATCTGAGCTTGTTTATATAATACACAGTGATATAGTACTGACAGAGCGATGAGTGTAGGGATAAGTTTATTGTTGTTCATAATCACATCGATGATACAATGTTGTATTCTGTGTCAGTACCCGAATCCCACATTTGTATTAACCAGTAAAGAAGCACTCTTTAGAGTCAAATTTATACTGGAAGTAAGAAATGAAAAAAAATTAAAAGGATGGTTGGTTACAGGATTTCATCATGAGCTGACAGTAGTTAGAGAACCATTGAAAAGCCACCTGAGAGTACTGAATAGCTGTTTCGTCCTAGTTCGGGACTCTTGGCTAGTACGCTCCCACCATCAGGGTTCGAACCCAGGATCTTCTGGTTACAAGGTGAGCTAGCTCGTAGACCATTCAGCAGCCACTGGGACCAGATCCAATGGCCGGCCCATGAATTCTAACTTCTGCGAATTCACGACATAGCGCAAACCCTAGCTAATGTCTTCAGTGGCGAGTATTTGTCCTCACACCCGACCTGCTGCACCTTACTGGTTACGACTTTCCACTGGAACCCCAGGTAATTACCTACCTGAATACAGCCAGTCGCTAGTGAGCATCTCATTGATATTCAAATCCCCACAAACCAATACCTGAATAAAAGGACGATATTTATTAGCATGAATCATGGGAACAAATCATGACGTCAGGCATTGAATCAAACCTATCGCATATGTTCCCAGATGGTTCGATAAATAAACCTTAAGTTATCATCTCATAACATTAGAATTAAGATTGTCACTTTGTCTCTTCCTATTATACGCTTGTGTGTATAACAGCATGTAGTGTTTTAGGGAGGCTTTCTTTCTACATTTCTTGTCCTATTAGGGTATATATTAGTTTAAATTTCACTAGATTTTTATGCTCTGTGTTAATTTACCTGACCCGGACTCCTACAGTGACCTGTGTATTTGACTTCATAGTCATTACATAATACTGTTTAAACTAGGTAATTTTATCTGATAGGCTCTACAGGAAACGTTGACCAACCGATATGAGTTTTTTCTAAGTTAGTCTGTGGAGTTGACAACTGAAATTGTGTTTCTCAAATCAACTGAGAAAACATGCTACAGGAATAATTCAGAACTTGTTGTATTGTAATTCCATATTAGTTTGTTTATTAAATGTACCACATAGTGAAACAGTATTATTTACTCGATGACAAAGTTTCGAATAAAATTTATTATTAATTACAATCATATCAATCATAATCACACAATTTCGAAACTTGAGTTTTATAGTTTTCTTTGTTCTCTTCTATTTGTTGTCGTAGGGTAGTAGAATTTTATCAGATATCTGGGACAGGTGTTGAATCATTCCTATTACATGTATTTGCAGTTGATTCGATGAACAAAGCTTCTGTTATCAATCTCTCCCTCTACCCTGTGACATTAGATTTTAAAACTGTCATCCTATCCCACCCATCCTACTGTACTGTGTGTGTGTGTAACTGCATGTAGTGTTATAGCTGAACTATTCTCTAGATTTCTTATCTTATTCGGGTCAACCAATCTAGATTTTTCTAGTTTTTTTATGCTCGGCTAGTCTGACTGATTGCACCTGTTCAACTCTTTTGACCTATGTATTTGACCTGGCAAACATCGCAGATAGGGTATTAGATAAACTATATTGTTTTGTTTTAAGGGCTACACGGGATGGATACTTTAAACGACAAAGCTTGTTTCTAATTGAGGTTGTGGACTTGAATGCCGGCCACTTTTATTCCTACCTTGTTCAGAACTCTGCGTAAGGCTTCCGAAGTTCCTTCCATGTATGGAATTACTGTTGATGACTTAGATTCCCTATCGTTGGTGTCGTCATTAATATTATTATCACTATTATTATTACCATTATTATTGTCATTATTATTGTTATCATTATTATTATTATAACTATCACTGTTATCATTATTTATTTTATTTTTACTTTTACTTACATATTTCTTGACTAATTTATCCAGGTAATTATTAAGTTTCACAGCTTGTTTTATGTGTATTTTCCTTGGTACTACCTAGTTTTTGTGCTCTGTCATTTAAACATTTCACTAATTCTATTTTTACTGACATCGTATGGGATGATCGGAAGTTCAAATATCTGTTTGAATGTGTGTGTTTCCTGTAAACACACACTAGTGTGCTTAACTTCCCATGTTCTTTCCTGTTTACGTTGCAATCTAACATTGGAAGTTCCCCTTGCTGACTTTCCAATTCATAAGTGAATTGAATTGCCTCCACCTTCGAGTTGATGTGTTCCAAAAATCTATCTATTTATTGTGTTCTGAGTACAGTGAGCGTGTCATCTACATACCTCCACCATACTTTTTGGGTTGGTGGAGGTGAACATTTCAATCACTATGTTTTCCCACCTATCCATGAATATATCTGCCACAACCGAGGATATCAGTGATCCCATGGCAATTCCCTCAATTTGTTTGTATATTTTCCCTTGGAATTTAAATACTGTGGAAGTCAGGCATAGCTGCACTCCCGGCATTATGTCTTCAAGTGACACTTTTGTCCTAAGTTCGAGTTGTTAATCAGAAATGAGTTCATTTCTGACTGCCTCTATAGCCATATTTATTGGTATCGTACAGGTAGACAACTCTTCTATCCCTAAGAGGAATGGGAAAGGAACGATTAAAAATTATGGGGAGACCCAGTTTTAACACCGTTTAGTTACAAGTGATATGGTTCAGAACAGCAAGTAGTTGATGTTGGTTTGTAACAGAGTCTGCCACTCATGGAGATAACTTTCTTCTTCATCTGAACAATTGGTTTCATTGAAATATTATTAAATGATTTCCTGTTCAGTCATTATGATTAGTCTTCAAATAGCAAAACCAGTTATTATTATTGCAACATAAAGCTGATAAGATTTGATAGTGTGAAATATTTCCATATTATGAATTTAAAGTCAATCTGAACGAAGAATATTCTTTTCAATAATTTCTCCTCTTCACGTTCTGACAATTATAAAATATGATTATATTTGTTGTCGTTACAATAAAGGCCACTTATGCGTTGGATACAATTTTAACGTAGAATAACAGATTAGCAGTTATGGGGTGTCAAAATAAATAGTCGTATTTGTGTGACAAACGTGCTAGGCTGAAAACGATATCGGTCGTTCGATTCAAGTTTTTTCCAAGAGGGTGCAAGAACACTATCCTGCATGGTAGTTACGAAGAGGGGGAAGTGGAACAATAAGAAGCGCGATCATTGAACATCTGGTCGATAATGATCACCCCATCTCTATAGCCTCCGCCTTTAAAGTCATCTACAAGACAAAAAGTAATTTACCCAAATCCCAACGTACCCGGCTCATCTGTATTGCTGAAGCCATCTTTAGTTATCGAAACAGAAAAGCCAGATCTCTGTGTACAGAAAAAGTTCGTTCAACCCCTCCAACTTTCATGGTCTTAATCCGTCCATGCCAAAATATGACAATCCCCAATCATATTTTGGCTCTACGAATTTTTCATTTTTTCATTTTGTCTATTCAATTTGTAGTCTCTTCCTTATTACGTCAATTGTTACTATTACTACTCTCACTTTGAACTGTCCCCGGTATTATTTCACTTGTTCCACTTGTCATTCTAAATCAATTCTTTTTCTTTTTACAACGTTAAATTCTATGCTATCAAAATTTCACTCAGTGTTACGTAACCCTTTTTGTTTTATTCGATTTGTCTACTAATCTTATAATTTCACACCCTTTTTTAAGTTCTATCCATCCTATGAATTATTCTATATGTGACATTAATTTGCTCTGCCACTTGACATTTAACTATGACTAAAATCAAAAACATTTTTACTTTTTATTTGCATTTCATACTATTATCATTATTTTATGCATTCACATCTATATATATTAAATATGATTATATTTGTTGTCGTTACAATAAAGGCCAGTTATGCGGTGGATACATTTTTAGCGTAGAATAACAGATTAGTTATGGGGTATCAAAATAAATATCCGGACTTATTATTAGTGATATATATATGCTATATATATATATATATATATATATATATATATATATATATATATATATATATATATATCACTAATAATAAGTCCGGATATTTATTTTGATACCCCATAACTAATCTGTTATTCTACGCTAAAAATGTATCCACCGCATAACTGGCCTTTATTGTAACGACAACAAATATAATCATATTTAATAACTGTCAGAACGTGAAGAGGAGAAATTATTGAAAAGAGAATATTCTTCGTTCAGATTTACTTTTAATTAATAAAGCTGATAAGAATGATTGGGCAGTTCATATTAATTAGATCACTCCTATCAGGTTACCAAATCCAACTGAAAAAATAACCTGAATGGTTTCCTACTACTTATGTGAACCAATGAGTAATATATAGTCTTAAGCATTTATACTTCCTTTCTTAACTGCTATAAATGGTATGAAGCAGACAATCTATTGTGTTCTGAATCATTTTGGTTTCCTGAGGGAACTCGGATCAATTTTCACCTCAAAATATGTGATATGCAAATTTTGAACTTGATTCTAAATCAGATTTCGGATTTAATGGTTGAGGATTAACAAATATTTTCTATTTTATGCTAGTTATATAAATATGAATGATCAATATATATATATATATATATATATATATATATATATATAATATTATATTATATCTTGAATGGAAAGAGCTTACTTCAACTTTGCTACAATATGTTGGTGGCCAAGATAATGTTAAAACAAGGTAATTCCAATCATCTCCCTCTTGACTATATCCCGAGTGCAGGAGTGTAGCAAAAATAGTTGTGAATAAAACAGCTTGGATATACCTAGAAATGATAGGAATAAATGTGAAGGGAATTGTTCTTCAAATACGCATTATCATTATTATTTTGAATAAAGAAAGAATGAACATATTTTTGCAGGATAATACAAGCTCGTTCTGTTTCATAGATTCTCTTCAACTGCTGCGTACATCCTAAATAAATCAATTATATGCTACAAAATGCTATCTGAACACACTTTTTACAATGACATCAAGTTATACGTAGAAATTATAGGTAGAGTAGGGAAAGTTAAAATTTTGAGCACCACTAACTACCAATCAGTTAATGACCTCGAACGCACCGATTGCATGAATGAGGCAATTTTGTGTGTCAAATATGTATATTTATGAAATAATGTATAAAAACTGTAGGAAAGTGTTAAAGGGGATAGCTTCCTCTCACATGTGATAAAAATAGCTCTCAGTTTTAGGTTGGAGTATCAACAGAGTACAATTCTATTGTGGGTAAAATTTATTTTGATAAAGTCTCACAGTGTAAGACAGTAATATTTCCAGAGCAATAGATTGTCCTTGAAACGTAATCAGTAAATATTACTGTATAACACCGTGTGACTTTATCAAAATAAATTTTACCCACAATGAAATTATACTTTCCCACAGTGGACAATTTCTATTCTAATATAAACAGACTAATTTAACCACACTCTATGCATGTAATTATTTAGGTCTTCTAACCCTAACAATAACTCTAATCTCCTCTGAACCTAGCCCTAACGTGAAAATATCCCTAAACCCTAATCTAACTTGAACTAGCCCTAATACCACATTTGGTAGGTTGACCTAACCCTCACTTGTCCTTGGCTTAAAAAGTTACTCAATCTTTCCCAAGTCTAAGCTGAAACTTGTGAGATATCCCATTTAACAGCATAACACTTCGATAAGCATATTTAATTGACGATGATGATGACATCATTTGCCAGGTTTCAGTGATTCCCTCAGTCAGCGTTTCAGGGTCATTGGTACGGTCGCACTCCATTGGAGGTCAGTGGTGCTTAAAGTTTAACTTTGCCGTAAAGTAATAACAGAGATTATGTAAATAGACAATTACTCAGTGTTAAAACAGTAACTGTTTATATAGTAATTAGACAAAGGGGTGGAATTCACATTTCTCTTGGATACAAGGATGGAGTATAGACAAAATACAAGACAGAATGACAGAGTTAATTTTTACATATTATGGTAAAGAGTTCAAGAGAGTGCGGTCGGCAACAAATAACCGTTGGAGACCAGCCAAACACAGAGAAAGAAAACATAATATGCCACCAAAAGCACGTGTATTTTAGTTACCACGCCATGAAATGTGCATTCGGAAGCACTACGCCTGTCACATTTGTAACCAAACTCCACCTTCGAAGCACGCGAAACAAATAAACTCTCCACCATAATCTGCTTTTGGTGGCATATTATGTTTTCTTTCTCTGTGTTTGGCTGGTCTCCAACGGTTATTTGTTGCCGACCGCACTCTCTTGAACTCTTTACCATAATATGTAAAAATTAACTCTGTCATTCTGTCTTTTATTTTGTCTATACTCCATCCTTGTTTCTAAGAGAAATCTGAAATCCACCCCTTTGTATAATTACCATATAAATAGTTACGCTTTTAACACTGAATAATTGTCTACTCACATCATCTTCGTTATTACGTCATCTATAATTTCTATGGATAACTTGAAGTCATAGTTGAAAAAGTATGTTCAGACACCATCTTGTAACATATAAGTGATTTATTTAGTATGTCCGCAGTTGAAGAGAATTCATGAAATAGAAAGAGCTTGTATTATCTTGCAAAAATATGTTCGTTCTTTCCTTATTTAAACTAATAAAGCAAACCGGCTGTATGAAACAGTTAGCAGTGTTTACAAATTGATTTATGCAAAAGTGAGCGTCGGTGATTCAGACATCGGATCCCCACCGCACCATATGTATAGTGTTGGGCTCGACCTCCAGTCCACACACCCCTATACCTCACTAAGACTTTATTAAGGCTGGTAAAGAGGGCAGGTTAGGCGTCATACTGGCAATTCCATACAGTAAAATATAAAACCACTGCTACAAAAACTTCAAATCCCTAGTATAAAACTGTATACTACACTCAGAAAGCAAAGGAATAAAATATTTAATAATTATGTAAAGCCATACTAAAACAGGTAGCTAAAGTTAGAATTAGCGTTTCAAGACATTAGCTGTTGAAGTAGGCAATTTAGAGTGAGTATATATATATATATATATATATATATATATATATATATAAGTTATTGCGAAACAAAGCTGCTACTATTTCGTTACAATCTACTTGCATAGGGAGATGGCGGCAGTCAGTTACGTTTTGAATTTCCTCAGTTAGTTGATTTTATATGAGTTTGTATTTGTGGTGGTGTGATACAGACAGTGTGTGCCAACGGAATATTATTCTCATATATTTTCCCACAGTTCAAGTCGGCAATAGCAATAGAATACAAGATATCTATTTCAACATTCTGTTTGATGTTAGAGACAGAATACTTTCTCACGGTTATATACTGCAATAACAAAAGAATACTATGGTTACTTGAATATTGCATTTTGTGTTGTTTGTTGTAAACCGAAATCACATACTCAATGATTGGTTAACGAATATAAACTGTAGATACGTAAACAACAGTTTGATTAATGAAATATTTTTTCTCGCCTGCGTGTCTTGCCTTCTATAGTTGCATATTTATTTGCTTAGACGAATGCTTTAATCCTATCAGATGTTACTGAGGTATAACCCAACCACATCTCTTTCAGTTTGTCAACTCATGTATTTTACTTATTCTTCTTTACTTTTCACCCTTATTCTTTCCTGGATTGCTTAAGAAAAACCATGTCATAATTCGTAGAACTCTGAAGACTCCTTGTCAGTAGGACGAGTGGTATCCCATTGGGCCATATTGTTAACATTGTCACTGATAGGCACTTGATGTCATGCAACAAATTCGCTGAAGGAAATATTGTCAGACTGTGAGCATCCACTTTACTTAACCGCAGCTTCAACCTTGTGTCTCCTCATGTAAAGCAAGAAGTCTTTTCAGAAAACTTTATGCACGTACGTGTAAGTATAAAAATTCCAGCATACCATATTTGGTACGTACTTTATGTGATGAATATAGCGTTAGGCATGAATTAACTAACCTTCTTTGCACTAGTAAATGAACCATTTCCTGCACCCTTACAACATCAAACTTTATTGTTATTGTACTTCTTATATATATATATATATATATATATATATATATATATATATATATATATATATATATATATATAATCCTCTCAATTGTTTTCTAAATTTTTTTTCATAAGTGTGAACATAATTTAAGCTGTGTTAAAACTGTTAATTTTGTATTTCCCCTTGCTACACTATATCAGAAGAACATTAGATCCAATGATCTATAACATGCTAAAATTTCCAAAGTGAATCGACAATACTGTTTGAAACAAACTCACTGTTATTATCATTATTATTATTACTATATTTAATATTCTCAATTCGTGCTTCGAATATTTTTAACTTTATATTGCAAACGTGGACCAATTTCTGTGATTAATTTTATTTGAATTCTATATATATTTTGAGTAAATCAGAGGCAATATTGTGACAAACGCTGAGAATTCCATTCTGTATTATAAGTACTGCTCTTTTGGAATAAAGTGTATTATTATTATGTTTATCTATTTTAAAGTTATTGTATCAACTTGCTTAGACAGTTGCAGTGTGTATTATAGGTTTGCTATACTGGTCGTGCAAACACCTCATAATAGCTTTTATCTATATATAAGGCGGCCTGCTTAAATCATTGGGCTACCAAAAATACTTTCCTCCAAAATGCTTAATTTCATCTGGATTTATCATTGTTTTAATCGTCCAGTTATATCAAATGATCTATACATAAACTTGCGCAATGATATAACTTGCTCCCAAGTAAACGCTGTACAATTCTTCAACGAAATGAAGATATACTTCAGATTATTAATTTACATGTGAATCCTGTGTGAAGAAAAAAGTACTTTGGAGTAGAATACGCTGAAAATGTTTGTACCGTATATTCGCATACTGTCTTAAATAAAGCTTTACCATTATTATTATTATTATTATTATTATTATTATTATTATCTTCACTCGGAGATTTTCTGTCTCAGAATTGTGCGGTTATATGGACATGATGATTTTATGGGACAATTTACCACCTTATGTAGTCAGTCGAAATAAACCGTTTTATCATTTATATAGAGTAGCCTTATGTATGTATGTGTGTGTGAGTGTGGAAAATGTATATTTTATTGTAATGCATTTTTGTCTAGTCATGTCGTCCGTACAGTCATAGGCTAGTCTCTGTCAGGGATCTTTACTTGGTTCCGTAAGGCAGAAGGTATTGAAGGAGCATAGCAATATTAGGGTGAGTCGGTGGCACAATGGTGGAATGCTCACCAACCAAGCCTCATGGGGTTCGAGGTTCAATCCCTGGTCACAGATGCACTCCTAAACCTCGCTAAGCGAGTAATAAGTCTAGTAAAGAGGGAAGCTTGGACATGAAGCTAGCAACCTCACACCGTAAAAATAAATACCGCTTCTACCGAAACTTCAAGCCTCTAACTTGAAAGCCTATGTTCCACCACTGGGAACGTAAAGGAATAAAAAGAATAAGTAGTAATAGATATTCAACTGTGGTGGGTACCACATTACCTTCAGTAGTCTTGTACCTACGTTCTAATTTTTTCTCAGCCATATCATGCATGACTCGTCATCTTGATGACGATGACGATGATGATGATGAAGGCCAATGAAGTTATCTCATTAAGAACATGACAATAAGAAAATGTCTGTATATACACAATTCATAACAACGGATATCACTGAAAGCATTCGGCTTTTTGAAAATGGTTTCAATAAGACTAAAAAGCAAAATTACATTTAAAGTCTAGAGAATGAAGAATCCTAAAGGCAGCTGTGTATGCTTTTTCTATCAGTGATCTCCGAACTATCTAACTTTACTCCGCTTAAATTAGATTAATTTGAAGAAACGGATATAGTCTTGAAAATATGATTGAAATACTTACCACGTATACATCATCATTTAATTTGTATATTTCAATTGTTACAATAGACAGATAAAACTTGTGAATGTATAAACTGAATTTTATACAAAATAGAACATTTGTATTCGACTTTATCAATGAACTTTATGACAATACAAATAAGATAAATGAAGTATTGTTAACAGACAAAGTACGCTGAAATCACCAATCTTTGATGATAAATGATGAACTTTAATTAGTTATTATTATTATTATTGTCTCTCTCATTAGTATGAATGAAATATTTAAATTAAATTATTAGTAATGTGAAAAAGAAATAACTGAATAAATTCAAAGATTTTTATTCATCTCTCATAAGTGTGATAGTGTATATTAGTTGATCTTTATTCATCTAATTTCAGGGAGTAAAAATGTGAAGGTTCAAAGGTACTCGTAACGTGTGTGTGTGTGTGACGGAGGTCATTTCTGTGCTAGCCTATTTACCATTTAATTAATTATTTTGCTAATATTTAAACAATGAACTTGGTATATAGTATGGATACCAAATAAAAAAAGAAGGGAGCTATCAATGTCCATTTGTTATCTTCAAAGATAACGTGTAAAAATACGTTACAATTATCACTTACATTGGTCGTAGTAGATATACTTGAAAGATCTGCTGATGTCAGTACAAGGAGAAACATGAATTCATCATATGAGATTCAGAAAAATAACTTCAATTTTACTATGCGGATATCATCTTTTGGTGTTGAATAAATTAAGTAAACATTTGTAGAAAAAAAATGCTCATTCGTTAAATTATTCTTTTTTTCTTAAATGTTTTGTTTAACTGTTTTACTGCTCTAATGCCACTCTTTTAAATCTTAAATGAACTTTCAAATAACTAAATAAACAACGAATGCGTTGGTGACGCAGCGCAATGTAGTCCGGGGTTCAATCCCTAGCCGATGCACTCCATTACCCCACTAAGCCAGTAATAAAACTGATAAAGAGGGAAGGTTAGGCATGAGGTTGGCTAACAACCCCATCCTCTTGTAAAAATAAACACCACTGATACCGCGATTTCAAACCTCTAGCTTGAAGTCCCCTATTTTCCACTGGGAACGTGAAGGAATTAAAAAAAATAATAATAGTAAACAACGAACACTGAACTATGCTATTCATAATAAAAGTGAAGCGTGCTGTTTAATACATGTGTTGCTTCACCTATGTTTCCACAGATCTTTCGTCTCAATGTACTGGAATGAAGAAATAAAAAAGGCTGTTTGCTCTTCATCGATTTGTTTATTAGATGTTTCACACATAGTGAAACAGTAGTATTATTATTATTTACTGGGTGACAATGTTTCGAACACAGTTTATTATTTATATTTACCAAAAATGTATAGGGATCTATTATTGAGTAATAGGATGGGGGTTGTGATATGTATCCATATATATATATATATATATATATATATATATATATATATATATATATATATATATGGCGGTCTCTCTTTGTGTTGCTCTCTTAGTCTGTGACCATTTCACTTTGATGAACCTGTCTCCTTTAACAATGTATATTCCCCTTACATTATATGTTATATGTGTTTGTTGACAGTCCGTTGCTTGGTGACATATATCCATATATGGTGGTCGTTGACATGTCTGCTATATTTCGCTATGTATATATGGATCGATACTCCATTATAATTAGCCATTCATGTTAAGACTGTCTATTGATTGTTCACACACTTGTTCGGACATTCATATATATTTTTGCTCGCACACTCTTGTGGGATTTGATTCTCCTTGTGTTTGGAAAATAGAAGTATCATCGCAAACCTAGTGGTCTTCTGATTTCCGTCTTTCTTGCGTCAGGACTATTAAATTCTCGACCAGTACATAACAATAATTTGGCGACGAGTACATAACAATTTGGTGACGGAGAAAACTACTATTAACCACTCAGCAGCAGCAACATAATAGGTTGATATGACTGATATAATTACTCACAAATGGCTTTACAAGTAAAAATAAAAGTCACAAATTACGTAATACTCAATAACGGCACAAAGGAAGAAAATGTTAGAAACTTGATAAAGATAATAATGTTAGTGAGTGAGAAGTTGGATAGTTGAGTGTCAATTTAACAGGTGTGTAGGGTGAGATAAAATGTACAAAGGGAACATTTGAGAGTGATAACACGTGAATTAATTATTAAAGTAACAGCCTGTCAAATTAAAAAATCTCCAAGTACGACTAGTGAGGAGATTAAGACCATGATAGAATAAGAGACTGGACAGACTTTTTCTGTATACAAAGTTCGGGGTTGTATCGGTGAATTGCCAACTCCTCCGCCATACATAAATGCTGAAACCTGATGCTCTTTGTACCATTTGACTTCACCGTGTAGATAATCATGAAAAACAACTCTGGTGGAATTGCGTGACTTGAGTTCACCGATTGCTCAGGCAGTGAGCTAGTAACTATCTTGAATTGTCTTCCTGCTAACCATGACAGATAATGTTCAGAGATGTGTTTGGAAATTATACGCTTTATGCAGCCAATATAACTAGCTCCGCAAGAGCAGGTGAATTTATAAGCATATATTGAAGAAGCCTAAAGCTGCACTTTATCCTTCACACATCCATTAATCATTTATCATCTGTAAAATTGATATGTAGCTCAGATGAAAAGAAGACATTTTAGCGATATGGATAAGCAGTCCTTCAGGTACTCATCTGCGGTATCACCTTTAAATTTAACCTTCGTGAATACAGTTTCTTCGGCACCGTCGGGTTTCTTTCGTGCTTTTGCCTTACTTTCGTGTTTCTCTCGATGAATCATGAAGGATATCCATTTTCCATGAGCACTTGTCTGAGTCTCTCCAGTTCACCATCTGGTGTATCACTGGTACATATCCTTCTTATTCTTGAGGATAAGGAGTGTATCAGATTTCTCTTTCTTCTCAAAGGGACCCAAGTATGAAAATTTGTATATTGAACATTTTATGTTAGTTTTCTGTAGATCGATCTTTGAAGAGAACCTTCAGATCTCCTTTTTAGAAAAACATCCAAAAAATTGAATTTTAAGTTCATCTCTGATTTTTAGGTGAACTGGATAGTATGATGGCAGTTGTAGAACTCCTGAGTTATCATTCCGCTGTTAGCATTCTCGTCACATATGATGAAAGTATCAGCCACGTATCTTTGGTATATACGGAAACTATCGATGGTGTGTCGTAATATGCTATCCTTTAGACTTGCCAAGAAGCAGTCTACAAGTGAAGGGGTCTGTGGCGACCCTATCGTGTGTTTTGCGTGTTGTTAAACTTGAAATGTACATTGAAAGTGTATTTCAGTAATAGTTCCTTTAAGTAGTGGATTGCAGCACCTACTTTTCATTATTCTCCTCGACGAATTCGCATACAAATCAAATAGTTTCAGTGAGAGGGACGTTAGTGAAAAGAAACGTTACATCAAGAGATATCATTTTCTTCGCCGGATACATTAGCATCACTTATTGAATCGATGAATTTAAATGAATCTGAAACACTATGCTGACAGAGATTATTTCTGATATGTAGAAGGATGTCTGCGAGCCATCTGACAGTAGCATGATATGTGGATTTGTAATATCGAAGATTGGACATAGTGTTAAGTTCACTTTGTGCACTTTTGGGAGACCATATAACCGGATAATTACAGAGCCTGAGAGTCGTATCCACCAAAATGATTGACAGCTGATAATTGATTCGTTCTTCATCTTCTTTAGCATTTGTTTTATGGTCCCTTCACTTTCTTTAGTTCCGTTTTTCTGGTTACTTTCTTTTGAAAATGTGATTTCATTTGATATGATGGGTAACTTTGTATCAAGGTAGTTGATATGTATCCATACATATATATATATATGGTGGTCTCTCTTTCTGTTTGCTCGCTTAGTCTGTGACCATTTCACTTTGATGAACCTGTCTCCTTTAACAATGTATATTCCCCTTATATATATATATATATATATATATATATATATATATATATATATATATATATATATATATATATATATATATATATATATATATATATATAATATGAGTGTTTGTTGACAGTCCGTTGCTTGGTGACATATATCCATATTATGTGTGTGGTTGTTGACATGTCTGCTATATTTTGCTATGTATATATGGATCGATACTCCATTATAATAAGCCATTCATGTTAAGACTGTCTATTGATTTGTTCACACACTTGTCTGGACATTCATATATATTTCGCTCTCAATCTTGTGTGACTACTTTGGTGTGATACGACTTATTGCTTCTCCTTGTGTTTGGAAAATAGAAGTATCATCGCAAACCTAGTGGTCTTCTGATTTCCATCTTTCTTGCGTCAGGACTATTACATTCTTGACCAGTACATAATAATAATTTAGCGACGAGTACATAACAGTAGTCTTAGCGATTCATCAGGATAATGCCAGAACTTTTATCGGGACGAATCAGCATCAAGTCTTTACTCATTAACATCTCACGTAGCTGTTTTCTGTCCTTAGCTGAAATCAATCGTTTAACATGTGGCTGTCTACTCACATACTGATGATATCAATTCATTACTGTAGTCTTGAATTGTTCATACGATTTTTTTGACACTGGAAGATCATTTCATGATGGATCAGTGCTTCAAACTGGACTCTAATATCTAAGTCACTGGAGTTTGTCGAAATATCACAGAATTTCTCACCCAACGACAAAGCTTGCAATTGGATAGGAGTTAATGATATACTGGAGTAGGTGAAAACTTACTTCTCTGGTGTGGCACAAAAACACTAAAAAGTTTCAACAGCTTCAAGACTATTCGCGAGTTTCATGTCTTGTTGAAACTGAATCGATGTAGTCCATAAAATGTTTCTGTATTGGTGTTCAGTCAATCTGACTGCAAGTATTATCAGTTGATGCAATGATGAATAAAGTTACCGTTATCAGTCTCTCCCTCCACCCTGTTACACTAGATTTCAAAACTCTCATCTTATTAAAACCTATTGTATGTTCGTGTGCAATTGTAAGTAGTGATATCTACGGCTGAACTATTCTCCAGATTTCTCATCTGAATAGGTTCAAATAATCTAAATTTTGGTGCTTCGGTGGCACAGTGATATAATGCTCACCGACCACATAGATGGTGCGGGGTTCGATCCCCGGTCGACAAGGTACTCCTTTACCTCGCTAAGACGATAATAAGATTGCCAAAGAAGGAAAGTTGGGTATTAGGCTAGCAACCACATCCCGTAAAAATAAATACAACTGCGACCGAAACATCAAGGCTCTCGCTTGAAGCCCTATGTCCCATTGGGGACTTAGGGGAATAAAAGAATCCAGACTTTACTGGGTTTCTGTGCTCCGCTAGTCTGATTGACTAACCCTGTTCTACTACTTTAACCCATATATTTGACCTGACAATCATTGCA